AATGTTTACACTTGAATCATTGGACTTTGTTCTGTAAGAAGGACCACTTCCAAAATCACAGTTCTCTGCTCTGTTCAACGGGTAAAGTAGCCAGCCAAAGAAGTTGCATGGTCTCCTCCAAGTCCACCTTCTTAGCAATGGTTCCAAATCAGTGTTCAAGGGCACTCAGGTTGATTGTGCAGTTGTCATTGGCTGACTGTCAAAACTGAATGACAGATTTCATCATGTATCAAGGGCTTACATTTTTCATAGTGTATTTTTAGCTATTGAAAGCAACTGGTAGTTGGGGACTTCCACGCTTTACCACATGGGCCGTTCTATGAAAGGAAGTTCAAAGATCTTGCTATGGTTAAAGTTACAAAGCAAAGTCATGCGTTGGTTTTTTTTTTTTAATCTGAAACACAGCTTAATATTTTATAGGACTCTGAAATCTTTTTAATCTGTGACTTTTGAGTTGAAAAGAAAGCTTTAAATGGTTCATAATGTTTGTGCAAGGACATTGCTATTGTGATTTGAAAGCTAAGTAATAGATTATTTCTAAGTTACAACATCCTTCTCATGGGAAGGCCCTTGACTAAGGATATAAGCCACTGAGGACAAAATTCAAACATAATCACTTTGATTTTCATATTGTTTCCTTCAAAACAATACTCTATGTGCCAGATGCTTCCTTAAAAAGTGAGGCATCCAGTCAGGAGTAAATATTAACTCCCCAAATCTCACTGTGAATGATGACATCCACAAGTCAATGTAGTGTTATTTAACCAAAAACGATGGGAATGATGTTATTTCCAAGAAAATGCCTAGAAGTGGACATCAGCATAAGTCTCACAAAGATGAGTATTGTATGTTTTCTCTCATATGAAATCTAGAGACAGAAAGATCTGAAATAAAAAGAGAACTATTAAGAATTCAGAAGGGAAAATGGGAGAATAAGAAAGAGTGATAAAGAGGGTAGATATGATAAAAGTATATCATAATACATAAATGGAATTGTTTTAATAAATCATGTTTGAATAATTGATACATATTAATTAAAAACAATAAATGAAAATAACAAAATTAGGGTAGCCCAGCAATTCTAGCTCTTTATTTTAAAGAGAATATGTAGAGGCCCTTCTCTTTGTTTCATTGTACCCAAAATATGTATGTACATGAAGCTTTATATATAAATGTTCTCAGAAGCATAGCCCCAAATGGAAACAAGCAAACTACCTACCATTTAATAACCAGAAGGAATTTGTTGTGTTCAACAATAATAGAGAAGGACATATAGGTAGATAGTACAATATGGATGAACCTTCAATACATCATGCTAAACCAGGCGCACAGGACCACTATTGTAAGAATATTTTCCCTGGGGAGATGAAGTAACATCACTCCTTCCTCATGAGGCCCAAGGACAAAACAAAGTACTATTCCATACATATTTTCCTTTGGGGCCAATGAGTTGATTTTGCTCAGTTACAGACCATGAATGAGAATTTTTTAGTGAATGCATAAAAGACTCCAAAGTAACTGTATTGGAAAGTCTCCACACAGTGTGGATGGTGGCTTCTCCATGGCCACATAGAGGGAGCCCCCTCTCATAATTTCTCCCACTTATATCCTCTAACATGTCTGCAAAACCTTTAGACTATATGCAATTAGGACTGAGTTACACACGAATAGCTGGAAGGAGTAGCTGGACACTTGGGTAAGGGTCCACTGACCCTCCCACATCATCATCTTCAGAGAAAGCCCAATCTTTATGGACTGACTCAGGTAGGCATGGCTGATTTGATGTAGACAGGAATTTTTTGCCAAGAGGCTAATGTATAATGATTCCATTTACATGGAATGTTTAGGCATCAAAAGCAGATTAGTGGTTGATTGCCAGATAGAGAGAAGAAGGGAGTTTGTGTAGACTGCTAGGAGGCAAAGGGTTTCTTGAGGTGTGATGAAGACACGCTAAATGTAAATAGTGATGATGATTTCGCAACCTGAGTATGCTCAAAATCTATACAAATTTACACTTTAAAACAATAGATTCTATGGCATATTAATTGTATCACTCAAAAGTGCTCTCATTATTTTATTTAAAGAAGGTTGTTCTAGGTTATGAGGTCAGAAGAGGTATAGACAGTCAAAGACAGAGCACCAAAGAGTCATTGTAGCCAGCAGAATGGCTGCTGAAACAAAACCACAAAAACTACCCAGTACAGCAATAAGGGAACCAGAAAGTAACAGGGCTACAGTCAAAGACATTGGGTATTGTGGGCCTAAAACTGCAAACACAGGCTTGGGGCCATCAGTTCAGAAGAGTTTTCCTTTCCAAATGCCTGACAATATGCCCCTTATTGCCACCAGATGAGCTCGGCCGAGCTCCAGTGCAGTCTCAGATCTGTTCCATGCTACTGAACTGTACCAATTGTGGGACAGAGCTTTATTAAAGAGAACAGGAAGTCTGTTGTGGCCAAGGCAATTTGTAGTGGTCTGAAAACACCGACTTCTCAGAAAGGAAATTCTTTTTAAATGTATTAATACCCTGAACAAATAGGATTCTTCATACTGCTATTTTAACCAAGCTACTTGTGTTCCAATGCAAGTACTCTAAACAAATATAAAACAAGTGGATGGGCACCAAAGTTTTGAAAGTTCTAACCTCAAGGAGGCCTTTTGGTTTTTTTAAACAAATGTTTCAGCTTTCTGCTGAGATGCCATGGCATGTGGACACATTCCTCCTCTTGTGCAGATGTTTGTGTTGTTCAGGATAATTCTGCATGAACAGAAATTGCACAATAATGTCCTAGATTTATCACACAGTTTCACAAGCATGAGTGAGCCACGGTGATCTTATTTGGTAAATGATGGACAGCATTTTGTGACCACAGATCATCAGGGTTCCTGCATTTTGTGACCACTGAGCATCAGGAATCCTTCAATGCATTGAATGATTTCTAGCTTTGTGTGTTGTACACGGCTATTAACTTAACTATCTGTGTACCCTCATTATGCTAGATCACTAACGTAATAGCATGTGAGTCCTGATTTGTGATGCTTTCTGAAAACAAAGAAAGTAAGCCCTGCATCCCTAAAATCTAAACAATAATCCCCAAGGCTCAGTTCAGACTGAGTTGTTAGTATTCACAGAGAGACTAATAATAAAGAAGCAACTTGAAGGAGGAAACTGTACAAAGAAGTATAAATGAAAAAAATCTAGATAGCTCTAACCTGACTTGGTTGCACCCTCTACAAAAATAACCACTTCCTGGTCTGTCTGCAAGACCTACACTTGCTCTCTTTATCTACAGTTGGTTAAGTTGGCAGTCCCAGATCTTGCATCCTCTTTTCTACAGATGCCATGAGGTACTAGACCCTAATGGCTCACCCTGTAGCTATATTTTAAGTTGGACATTACTTTTACTGAATGGAGTATCTGGAACACTATATGTTTCATGATTTTTATCCTCTGGTCTTAGATTCATGTGACATTCGTCTTCTTCCACAATGTCAAAACCCATGCTTCCTGTACACATGCATGCACATACTCCCACAGACATATCCACATATCACATGCATTCACACGTGCACATGAATACACAGATTGACACAATGTAGGCATGCAATACTACCTATGCACAGCACACAAACTTACAGCATATATACATGCACTATAATAGCATACCCTTATGCATAACCACAACCACACACCCACATTACTGTATAGTCACTCGTGCATTACACTAATCATACACACCCACTGAGCCACTTGCCACACCCATACATAGCAGAGACACTGATGTGCTTGCAAACAATCATACATACTTACCCTGAACACACAGTACATACATACACTCAGGAAAAATTCAACAGATAACCAGTGAAGCACCCTACTGAACATTGAGGTTATGGTGGTGACAACAAACAAATCATTTTCCTACATGGTACTTGAATCAGGGGTGAAGGGAGAATTTGAATAAAATCCCAAGTCTGAAGTTAGGATAAAAGGAATGATGGACACAGTGCTGCTATTGCTAACAGAACTGGCTACAAGCCCATGAGCTTAGAAGACAGAACTCCAAGATCTCTCTTGTACCCACTTTCCTAAGCTGACGGTGGGTTTTGAGATTTTCATTAGTTTCAGCCACTAATCCAGAAGTATGCCTTCATGGACCAGCTTATATAAAGTATAGTTTGTATCTCATAAACTCTGAGGAATCATTGGTGTTTGGGGAGTGTGTGGCATGAAAGCTGTCAGTGATTGGCACCATGAGAGGCACTGTCATTTTCACCATATAACTGTGAATAATGTACAGGGTGAAGGAAGCTGGTGTCTGCGATGCAGTCATGTTGGTAAAATTATAAGCCAGAACCTAGAGACACATCAAACAAAGACAACCTTTGAAATTCTATTCTGGATGTTTCAACAGGTACTTAGCATATCAGTTTATGTGTACCCATTTAATAGAATGCTGTTTGCCTAAATAGATATTAAATTTGGAAAAATCTTTTTCTTACTTCAACAGAAAATAACATTTAAAACATGGCCTATTTTTCTTCAAAGTCCAAGTTTATTGTCCTTTCTTCCTCACCCAGCTATGTTTGCGCACGCGCATGTACTCACACACATGCGCGCAGGCACACACCCTAGAAGGGGCTAATTCTATTTACAATAGGATTTTGTATGCTTTTAAAATTCATTTCAAATTTATTTTAACATGAACAGCAAGCCCGGCAACAAAAGATTCTAATGGAAACAAGTCACAACCACAGATGTTCACATTTTTTCCTCTCAGCAATAAAACTGATCTTAAAACCGAGACCTACACAGATGAAGCAATAATTATGGGAAAGCTCATAGTCATAGTTTTGGGGCTACTTGGCTTTCTTTTTTTTTGTAGAGATGAAAATCATAAGGGTTGGGGAAGCTTCTCCACCCAACTCTATGACAATCTGCCCTGTGTTTTCAGGATGCTTTCAAGATGGAAGGCTTAATTTCTTTTCCTTCTGCCTCCCAGACAGCCACAGTTTCTTGGGATATCCGAACACTATATTCAACAGTACCGGAAGAGGCAGAGCACAAGGCAGAAAGTTTGCTGGTGAAAGAGGTAAATGTGATGCTTGCTTTCTTTTCTCTTTTAAGCTTTTGCTCCCGCCGCCACCCACCACATCTGACAATCACAACACTCTGTTCTATTACAATTCTCCCGCTTGTTCATCTGCAGTTGAGGATAGATTATCTCAGTCTCCATGTCCATTTCAACCTTTGCCACTGCTGGGTGGCCTTCCATCTTTCTGTAGCCATGTTTGATTATATGGTAACTGCTCTGTTTTAGGTCTCTCCTTCATTTGTTCTTTTCTTTAAACTTCCACATGGAAAAGTATTTAATTGTTTTTTTTTTTTAATAGAAAGCTCTCGTTTTGTTTTACTTATCCATACCATGATGTAAAACAAAGGTGGCTGTATTCCCTGAGCGTGTTGGAGTGTGGAGTATCTGTTTTTAGAAATATAGTTAGTTTTGCTGGGTGCTATGAAAAGAGCTGATGAAAAATTTCTCTGGACAGCTTGAGGGACTGATTTAAAACTCTGTTGACTACATCTACTTGGATTCAGTTGGTGAAACAACTTCTTCATCATGTAACCAGACATCAGGCTGCTTTGGTATTGGGCCAGCACACAGCACTTAAGTAGCAGAACTTTACTGGTTGAAACCAGCCCCTCCTTTACACACAGTGGAGAGTAAGAATGCAGTCTAGCACAGGTTAACCGGTAGAGGAAGGGTCTAAATGTCCGCTTTATTCTAAGAAAGTGCTGTGTCCTGATTCAGATGAAACTTAATTACCAAGTTGGAACATTGACAGTTGGTCCTCTTACTGTAAAAACTGCAGTCTCTTTATAAAGACCCTGAATTTGATTGTTAGATTTAGTTCCTGATACCTTTTGGGTTTTCAGTAGAGAAGAGTAGAATGTTCTTATGGTTAATTGCTGATATTTTTAACATCTTTTAAGCTACTCATTTTAATATGAATGACTAATTCATCAAATTCTGTATGGTAATTTCCTTTTCAGGTTTGTAGTTATTTGCAAATGATTAGATTTTTCTTCTTTTCAAATAAGCATAACATGTCCTTAATTTTTGTCTCATTGTATTATGGAATATTCCTAAAATAATGTTGGATAATAATGCTAATATGGAATGTACTGTTTGGCTGTCTGATTTATTTTTATTGTAGGGGGAGGCAGTATTATCTTTTCCATTTTATAAAATACTGGTTTTTACATTGGTTTCTGATATTGCATAATTATTTTTTAAGAAATGTCTTTCTTAGTCCCTTTGAAGTGCTTATAAATGGTTCCCTTTCACCAGAGCATTTAATCAGTCTATTGACATACAGCCTCTCTGCTATAATTCAGCACTGAAGTAAAATTCATAAATTCTTTGCATGTTTACTTGCCTTTCTGATGTGAACTTTCTTGTCCATATTGACTTATTACCCTAATAAGCTGTTACTTACTTATTATGCTTACTGCTGTCTTATTACAAGCTTTTGCATCTATAGGAATGAGTAAATTTTATATCTTATGCATGAGCAAATTTGTATCTATAGACATGAGTAAAATTTACTTCTGGCTTTCACTTCATTCTGTTAGCATTATCAAAAAGTCTAGCTTTAAAAATCAATTTGGGGATACAACCGTAGTGTCTGTGGTAGTTAAAAGACTGACTAGACACTACTAAATTTATTGGGGAACAAAAGCACAAGTTTATAAGGATATAACGAATGTAGAGAAGAAACCCCACATGGCTTCAAAAAGCCCTGATGCCATGAATACCACTGAATGGTCACAAATTCATCATACAACAAAGACTGTGTAGCAACAGCAGCAACAGTAAAAGCCATGTTGAGTGAGCCAGATCTGCTTGCTGAAAATAAAACCAGCGAGGTCAGTTTTAGAGTGCTCCTCTCACACGTGCTAGCAAAAGAATACAGTAGTTTAACTACAAGTTTCGCTGGGCCAACAGCTCCACAAGAATCCCCAGTTCCCACTTGTACCTGAAGTTGCGCCCAACACGCTGATGTCTGCAAAGTTCCCAGAGTGCTAAATAAAATAAGCTATGATAATATGTTAATGTTTCCAGTGCCTATGGTTCGGCTAGCAATGCTTTTGTGTGTAGCCACTGCCTGTGAGGAACTCAACTCCAAAGTTAATCATCTTGCTGTTTTGTGAAGTTTCAAAATTTGTTTGCTACTTCAAGGAAGTAAGTAGTACAAGTTTTCATAAACTAGGAAACAAATATGCAAATCAAAACAAAATGGAGAAATCATACTTCCTCTACATTACATGGTAAACAGACAAGGGAAACAAAATAGTGCCTGGGGCAGGTGATTGGTTAGCAAATGGGAAAGACAGCACCCAGAGGCCAACAGCAAAGACTATGCTGTCCAGTTTAGGAGAATGTTATTTAAGTTCTATTTCCCTTATTACATAAGAAATTCCACAAGAATCAAAATTTGAAATAAAAAACAAAAGTCACTAAAGTGTAGGAAGACATTTTTAAATGGAAACGGAAAAAAAAAGACAGATTTAACTCAGTAAAGTTTAAATTTCTGTATGACAAATGGTATCCTTAAGTAAAAAAGAAGTTCAAGTTATCACCTACAACTCTATGTATTTTCTAATATATGCACAATGCACATATATTCCTAATAGTCAAAATCCAACAAAAGTTTTAAAGATATTTTTTAGTTTGTTATGTACGTATGTGTGTCAAGTTACTATGCAGTATGAACGTGCAGGTGCCTGTGGAGACAGATAGAAGGCAACAGATGCCCAGGAAGTATGGAGTTCTATACAGTTGTAAAATGACTGAATGAGTGCTGGGAACCAAACCTGGGTCCTCTGCAGGAGCAATTAGCGCTCTTAACTACTGGGCCATCCAATATCCAGAATCCTACAAATTTCAATGGGAAAAAGGCAACCCAGGAGAATATAAGCAAATGCAGTCAGCCAAAGGGTATGTACTAGTGGTCATGGAAGCACAAATAGAAGCAGATGGTATATGTGATATCTGAAAGACAAAAAAATTAAGATGAAATTACTTTACCATGGCAACAGTATAGGGGAAAATGTCATTACAACAGTGGTCAAAGTACACCCATAGCTTTTGAAGTGCAACTCACAAATAACTTTAAAGTGTCATATATAAGTATGTACCCACATATAAAAATAAGCATAAATATATGTAGATATTATTATAAGCAATGCTGATTTGGAAAATTTGAAGTATCAACAGGTATTCTGTTTAAAACATTTTGTTAGCATATATATATATGTGTGTGTGTATATATTATAAGCCAATAAATGCATTTAAGAGCCAGACATGGTGGTACACACTATTAATCCCAGAACTCAGGAAGCAAAGGCTAGCTTGGTCTACAAAGCAATTTTCAGGATAGTCAAGATTACATAGAAGAAAGTCCAGTTTGAAAATCAAAAAGGAAAAAGAAAAAAAAATAAAATAAAAATTTTATATGTGTGTGTGTGTGTGTGTGTGTGTGTGTGTGTATTTAAATAGTTTAGCTTTGATGTCTGATGCAATGCTCTGAATAAAACTAGTCACAGATTGTGAAATCTGATATCATTAAAGACATAAAACACATAAATACATACGTTAGTATGCATTCAAAATATTAGGTCTTATAGGGCAAAAGATATACATATAATATACATATGTGTGTATATGTGTGCAGATTGTGAAATCTGATATCATTAAAGACATAAAACACATAAATACATACATTAGTATGCATTCAAAATATTAAGTCTTATAGGGCAAAAGATATACATATAATATACATATATGTGTATATGTGTGTATGTATGTATATATCCATCTTGTTATAGTATTAAAAGTGAATTTTTCAATTAAAAATATTTTGTGAGAAATTAATTAGAATTTATTTTTAAATAATGCCAGAATTGGAACCCAATCAAGTCTATGGCCAATGAACCCACATATCAAATCCCAATACCAATTCAAAACCTCCACCACCAACCTCTAATACCATTAAGCCTACACGTTTAATGTTATTGCCTGGAAACCAGATCTGTTCAGCACAGAAGAACCCCCATGAGTATGGGGTTCCTCACAGTCAGAAGTTCCATGTGTGTCCAGAGACAGCTGCTGTACCACAGCTTCCAACATCATTCACTCTTGCAGTTCTCCGAGGTCACCTTCCATTGTCAACAGACTGACCACAAAATTTGCCTTTCTCTTGTTACTCTTCCTGTGGAGAAACTTCTTACCTTTGCTTTCATCCCACTTTAATTAGCAGGTTTCTCTCGCTTCTACTCTCAGCATCTCTCTTCTTCAAAGAGAATTCCTCCAAAGAAGGGAAACTTGGAAGAAATCATTTTATTTTCTGTTAAATTTTTCTGCATCATCTTCTGTAAAAAGGCCCCGTGTTCGGTTTGGAAGATGGCGATGAAACAGAGCCTGTGCTTTGCAGTCTGGGAAGCAGGAAAATCCTACTTACAAGTGTCCAGCATTAGCAATGCAGCATCAGTAGCCAGGACTGCCTGTGGGTGGCACATCAAAAGAAAAGAACTTAACAGAGAGCTGTCTGAGTTGGAGAAATGCCCCCAGAGAATTATGCTGGCAAAAAAGGCTTGACCTCAAATAGTAATGGCAGCCAATCATTATTGCCTACTTGCTTTGTGCCAGATATGCATCTAAATCATTCACTAATAATAATTACAAGCAGATGTTACAGCAAAGCAGCATCTTTTAAAGATGAGGAAACCATATCACAGAAAGGTTAAGAAACTGGAGCAGGTAGTGACCCCAGGCTACTGAGCCCAATCCCCTGGACTTTTGATTGACAATGCTAACTGCCAATCTGGTTTCCCTAGTATCCCCTGGAAGCAATCTGCCCTAGTGACTGTGCTGCAGACTCTGTCCAGGCAATTCTGGTATATAGTCAGTAGACTGCATATTTGGGAACACTGCTAGAGTTGCTGAAACCAGATAAAACTAGCACTGAAGGGGACTCAGACATTTTCACAGTTTTTGCGGAAGCTCATCTGTTTCACCGTGGTTGCTGC